CCGTCTCAAAAAAAAAAAAAAAAAAAAAAAAAGAAAGGAAAATACTTAGTAAAATGAAATAAAAATTCTGGCTACCCCATTCAGTGTCCTCTATTACATAACTAAAGGAAAATGAACTAATACAAAATAGTACTTATATAGCTTACATTTTCTAACCAAGACAGCATGAGATAATACTTTAATGTACTAATTCATTTTATAGATGGGAAAGCCAAGGACCTACTCATTTGGCCTTATTAATCAATTTTAGCATCACTAAAATAAAAAAAGAAAAGAAATATATTATGAGCCTTTTAATTTGATACAGTATCATTTATGAAGCACTCTTGCCAAAAACTAAAAACTGAACCTGAATCTAATTAATCAGCCTTCAGGTCAAACTTCCAACTTATAGGAAATGTGGGAAACAGGTAAAATGACACAAGCAGGAAGCAATTAGATAAATACAGAATGTGGCTCATTTTCTAGTATACAAAAATCAAATGCAGCAGCGCTTGTGGCTCAAAGGAGTAGGGCGCTGACCCCATATGCCAGAGATGGTGGGTTCAAATCCAGCCCCGGCCAAAAACTGCAAAAAAAAAAATCAAATGCGTGAAACAAAAATAAGAAGGACTCAAGCATAGATTATTTTAGAGACTTAAGGGACATAGCAATCAAAACATAGTAAGTCTAACTTGTTTGAATCCTGATTCAAACAAATCAACACTAAAAATAATTTTAAGGGCGGCACCTGTAGCTCAGTGGGTAGGGTGCCAGCCACATACACCAGGGCTGGCAACTCCTCCTGCCAAACAATGACAACTGCAAAAACAACAAAAATAGCCAGGCATTTTGGCAGGTGCCTGTAGTCCCAGCTACTTGGGAGGCTGAGGCAAGAGAATCATTTCAGCCCAAGAGTTTGAGATTGCTGTGAGCTGTGATGCCACAGTACTCAACTGAGGGTGACAGCTTGAAATTCTGTCTCAAAAAAAAAAAAAAAAAAGACAAGTGAAAAAATCTGAATTTAGACTGGGTATTAAGTTATATAAGGGAATTATTGTTAATTTTGTGAAGTGGGCAAATAGCATTGTTGTTACTGAAAAAATGTCTTTTTGAGAAATATACTGAAGTATTTAGGAGCAAAACAGTACATAAGGTAGAATTTGCTTTGAAACACTTCCAACAAAAGGGGAGGGAAACATAAAAGAAATAAGGCAAAATGTTAATGTGTTAATGGATTATTAAAGCTGGGTGATGGGTTAATTATATTCTCTTTTCAAAATAAAAAGACTAAACAAAAGTAAAAGTAACAAAAAGGGGTTGGCCCTGTTATTGGAAAGGGGCCAAAATGAAGCGATTAAAAAGTTCCCTTCACACAGTTCTTTCAAGTCTTAATATTTTTATTTCAGCCATTTGACCTATAAATGAATATCTCATCTCCCTTAGGCAGTATTATTTACCTTGGGATTTCCAAAAACAGATTTTTTTCACTTCTTGTGACATAGTGCCTAGCCCAATGTCACAAGCAATTCAATAACTACTTCTTAATGATCCATAAGATCATCCATATCCTATACAAATGATAGGTGAAAGCTAGAAAATGCTTAAGAAAAAAAGCAAAAAACTTTCCATGGATTTCAGCAGCACAGAAGAAATTATATTTTAGGAAGAAAAGTTTCAGAGGAGGGGAAGGAGAGGAGACATAGTGATAGCTGGCAGGTACAAATTGAGGCACCGAGAGCAAACAGATTATTTAGCTGAAAAGACTGAAAGGGAGAGAAAAAGAAGGAAAAACCAAAAGGAAGAAAATGAAGACTCCAGAAACACATAAAAGCCAAATAAAGTAACACTCCAATTCTTTCTTTTAATGCAAATTACAGTATTAGAAAGAAAAAACCTGGCTCGGTGCCTGTGGCTCAAGTGGCTAAGGCGCCAGCCATATACACCTAAGGTGGCAGGTTCGAATCCAGCCCGGGCCCGCCAAACAACGACAGCTGCAACTGAAAAAAAATAGCCAGGCATTGTGGTGGGCGCCTGTGGTCCCAGCAACTTGGGAGGATGAGGCAGGAGACTCGCTTGAGCCCAGGAGTTAGAGGTTGCTATAAGCTATGCCACGGCACTCTACCCAGGGGGACAGCTTGAGGCTCTGTCTCAAAAAAAGAAAGAAAAAACCTTAAAGATCATCTACTCAAGACCATCAGTTGGCAAATAAGGAAATTGAGTTAGAGTAGCACCAGATACACAGTAGCACTCAGATACACTGAATCAAAGCTCAAATGTTCTTTCTACTGCTCTAATTAACTTTATGGGTACTGCTAAAAAAATATTTAATGTATAGAACAAAATGCTGTTTAAACTCAGCTAGAATCAACTGAAGCTAGACCACTTAATTTATAATTAAAGGCTCAGTGCCTGTGGCTCAAGTGGCTAAGGCACCAGCCCCATACACCTAAGGTGGCGGGTTCGAATCCAGCCCGGACCCACCAAAACAACAATGATGGCTGCAACCAAAAAAATAGCCGGGCATTGTGGCGGGTGCCTGTGGTCCCAACTACTTGAGCCCAGGAGTTGGAGGTTGCTGTGAGATGTGATGCCACAGCACTCTACCCAGGGGGACAGCTTGAGGCTCTGTCTCAAAAAAAAAAAAAAAATTCTAATTAAAACACACTAAATTTTACCCTTACAGAACTTTATATCTCAGTCCTTTTTATTTATTTTTTTGCAGCTTTTGGCTGGGGCTAGGTTTGAACCCATCACCTCTGGCATATGGGTCCAGCACCCTACTCCTTTGAGCCACAGGTGCTGCTCTATATTTCAATCCTTTTTAAGCAAATCATCTAACAAGCAAAACCAGGCTTTCACCTCACACAATAAACTTGAAATACCTTTTGGGTTCTGTCTTTGGAATCCAAGACACTCTCCAAAGAAGCTTTAGCTGATGTGCCACTATCCTGTCTCCCTGTTTCCTGCCTCTTCTGTTGTTGCAGCTGCTCTTCCTCCTGTCTGTCTTTTTCTTCTAGTTTTTTCCGAACTTCAGCTTCTTCATATCTATATGAAAAAAAAAGTCAAGATATCTTTTACTGGCATAATCGTGGAAAGCAGTGGGGTTCAAATTCCGTAGAATGAGTATCCTGCCTTAACTACACATTTGATGGCTACATACTTTCTCCTTCCAACTGAAATCTAACTCTGGAAGTATTTCATTACAAACCACAACTTATACATTTGCCCTCTGAGGCCATCTGTAGATTTGCTTCAAATTTCCCAGGACCTTAAAAAGAAACTGTATGTTTTCAAGTTGAAGTTATTTATTGCTCTTTTGGCTTTTTCCCCTCAGGAAATTAATGATTGAAATCATTAATTCAATCTTTTAATGATTCGTATCTGTTGCAATTTCCTTTTTAAATAACTTATAAGTCTATTCTTTCTGCAAAAGAAACAGCCTAAATATCACACTTGTATTTATGATTTACAGTAAAAATGTTAAAGTGTGCATTCAAAAAGCTATTACCAACACGGGGGGGGGGGGGGAAGGTATTACCTAGGTTATCAGGTTACTTTTTTTTTAAGGATGACTTCACTGAAATTTCCAATTTATTGTAAGTTAAACAGCTTTACATATTAAAAATTTTAAGGCTCAGCACCCGTATCTCAGTGATAACAATTATTGCACACTATTTTTAAAATGCTATCCTTCTGGCTTGGCGCCCGTATCTCTGTGGTTAGGGCAGTGGTCACATACGTTGGAGTGGGCAGGTTTGAACCCAGTCTGGGCCTGCTAAACAACAAACAACAACAACAACAAAACAGCCAGGTATTGTGGCCGGCGCCTGTAGTTCCAACTATTTGAGAGGCTGAGACGGGCACCTGTAGTCCCAACTATTTGGGAGGCTGAGACAAGAGAATCACTTAAGCTTAAGTTTTAGGTTGTTGTAACCTGTGACAGCACAGCATTCTACCAATGGCGACATAATGAGACTCTGTCTCAAAAAGAAAAAAAAAATACAGTAGAACCTCCATACTTGACTACCTCCTTAAGTTGACCTAATTATCATAGACTGGACACACACCACATCTATGTATCAGTACCACAGGCCTAGTTCCTTATGTTAATCACCTCCACATGCTCACCAGTTTATTGGAGTCCTTTAAGTAGTTAACTTACAGACATTCTACTGTATGTATCTGGGGCAAAAAATTCACTCAACAGAAAAGTGAAGGTAACAAAGGAAACAGTACTTGAAGACAGAGCAATAGAAATCATCCAATCTGCAGAACAAGAGACTTTACGATATAGAATATTCCAGCCACGCATGGTGGCTCATGCCTATAACCCCCAACACTTTGGAAGGCTGAGATGGGTAGATCGCCTGAGCTCATGAGTTCAAGACCAGTCTGAGCCAGAGCGAGACCCTATCTCTAAAAATAGCCAGGCATGTGGAAGAGTAGTCCTAACTACTCAGGAGCCTGAGGCAAAAGAATCACTTGAGCAGGCTCGGCGCCTGTGGTCCCAGCTACTTGGGAGGCTGAGGCAGGAGACTTGCTTGAGCCCAGGAGTTGGAGGTTGCTGTGGTTGATGCCACAGCACTCTACCCAGGCGGATAGCTTGAGGCTCTGTCTCAAAAAAATAAAATAAAATAAAATAAAAAATAATCACTTGAGCCCAAGAGTTAGAGGTTGCTGTGAACTATGATGCCAGCGCACTCTACCGGTGGAGACAAAGTGAGATTCTGTCTCAGAAAGAAAAAAAAAAGGATATAGAATATTCCCAGAGGTAAAGAGAGATATACTGATAAAAAGGGCAATTCATCAAAACTCTATAATGGTCATAAATGTTTGAGGATAAAGGAAAATTTTCTTTTTAGAGACAGAGCCTCAAGCTGTCACCCTGGGTAGAGTGCCATGGCATCACAGCTCATAGCAACTTCCAACTCCTGGGTTCAAGCGATTCTCCTGCCTCTGCCTCCCAAGTAGTCGGGACTACAGGCGCCCACCAAAATGCCCAGCTATTTTTTTTTTTTTTTGGTTGCAGCCATCATTGTTGTTTAGCGGGCCCAGGCTGGATTCAAACCCGCCAGTTCAGGTGTATGTGGCAGGCGCCTTAGCCACTTGAGCCGCAGGTGCCGAGCCAAGAATTTTAAAACACATGAAACAAAGTTGAAAGAATTAAAGGCAGAAATAGACAGAGTTACACACTTCAATATCTGTCCCTTAGTAATTGTTACAACATAACACCCCCCTTCCCAAATCAGTAAAGACAGAGAAGACCTGAACAACACTATCAACCACTTTGACCTAAATAATGAATGCATAGAGAACACAATACTCAAAACACTTTTTTCCTTTCAGTTGTTCACAGTACATTCACTAAGACAGACCATATGCCACACCACAAAACAAGAGGTACTACAATTAAAAGGACCGAACATCTCTAGCCACACTGAAATTAAATTAGAAGAGACTAGGAAAATCTCACATATTTAGAAACTAAACAATTCTAAGTTTCGATTTAATTTTATTTTGAAGATAGGATCTTGCTCTGTTGCCCAACTAGAGTGCAATGGCTTGATCACAGCTCAATGTAACTTTGAATCTCTGGGATTAAGTGATCTTCCCACCTCAGACTCCTGAGGAGCTGAAACTACAGGTATACACCATGATACCCAGATAAATTTTTAAAGATATGGAGTCTCACTATACTCTAAATCAGTGGTTTTCTACCTTCCTAATGCCGCGATGTATTTTCATTGTTACAAAAGGGTTGCGACCTATAGGTTGAGAACCACTGCACTAAATGATCCGTGGGTTAACAGAAAAGGGAAATTAGAAAATATTTTTAAGGCTCGGCACCTGTGGTTCAAGCGGCTAAAGCGCCAGCCATATACATCTAAGGTGGCAGGTTCGAATCCCCAGCCCAGGCCCGCCAAACAACAATGATGGCTGCAACCAAAAAAATGGCTGGGCATTGTGGTGGGCGTCAACCTCCACAGAGGCACCCACCACAATGCTCAGCTATTTTTAGAGACTAAGTTTCACTTCTGCTCAGGCTGGTCTTGAACATGTGAGCTCAGGCAACCCAACCACCTCGGCTTCCCAGAGTGCTAGAATTACAGGTGTGAGCCACCACACTGGGCCTTAAGATTTATTTTCCTAAAAAAAAAAAAAAAAACATTAAATCATTATAGAAATCATATATGCAGCATGGCATGGTGGCTCACACTTAGAATCTTAACACTCTAGGAGGCTGATGTAGGTGGATTGCTTGAGCTCAGGAGTTTGAGACCAGCCTGAGCAGGACCAAGACCCCCATCTCTAAAAATAGCTGGGACTTATGCAGGGTGCCCATAGTCCCAGCCTCGCAGGAGGCTGAGGTAAGAAAATGGTTTCGACCCAGGAGTTTCAGGTTGATGTGAGCTATGTCGCCACGGCACTCTACCCAAGGCAACAGAATAAGACTCTGTCTCAAAAAAAAAAAAAAAAAAGACTGATTAATGACTAAAAACTGAAACATACTGCTTTTAATTTGTAATTACTTTATATGCCTGGTAAGCTATTCATGGCAAATACCAGAATCAGATTTTTTTGTCACCCTCAGTAGAGTGCTGTGGTGTCACAGCTCACAGCAACCTCCAGTTCTTGGGCT